CACGATAGGTGCAATTAGCAATGCACAATCAACTAACTAGATCGATTTTTCAGTTTCGCGTGCATTCTCAGAAATGGTATTCAACGGTAGACAATATGGTCACTATGCGATTAACTGTTTCAGATCAGTCTGAATATTTCTTGGATGAGGGAGAGCGAGAGTGAAAAGCGGACCGGGACAACTGATCATATTCACTGTGCTCAAAGTAAAACATAACTGAGTTCGCGCAGCTGCCAGAAATTCGATAGTGATATGAAGCAAGGAATAAAGCGTATCGGGAGGAATAGTATATGTATTAAGTATGACTAGTACAATTTAGTGAAATAGGACACCGAGCAATCCACCCAATATTCAGATGATCAAAATAGGTCTTCATCGATCACCATTTTGATCCAAAGCGTACAAAAGATGCAACCGAGTTAAAAACTAAATGGTAAAGCTACGAGGAACATTTTTTCCGCGTCTGAACTTTATTTAACTCTGAGTTGTTTGCGTACGTCACGTTTCATTTCAGATATGTATGACTCTTTACGGACAGCTTGAAAGCATCAAATCTGATACAATTTATCGGGCTGTTGAAAGATGTAAAATAGCATCCCACATGCAATATAATCATCAATAACTCTATTTTGTGCAACATAAAACAGGGCCGCAGTACCGATTTCGTTTTCCACGATGTTCAGAGCAAATCAATGCAGTATTTAGGTCAACCAGGAGCTATAATCAACGGTGGATGTGCCAAGCTCAGCAGGGAAGAAGCATCAATCAATATTTCGGAGGAAACGCAACGGTGAGAATGAAAGTGAAAAAAACCGGAGAATTTCTGCTCTCTTGAGCACACTTTACTTCCTGATTATTTACAACCATCCAACTCGACCCACGATGGATTTGCTTCTGGCTGTTCGTGTCACCGAATGGTGTGTGTGCGCGTGCGTGCGTGCGTGCAAATCAAGACTACCTATTGATGAGATGATGCGGTGTGTGCGCGTGTGTGTGTTGGACTGTGAGCGCGTGCGTGTTTGGGCGGGCTGGAAATCTTGTTTATATTGCGTTCAGTCGAATGACTTGAAATCGACCAGCCAGTTGGTCTCTCGCATCATTTACTCGTGATCAATTTTCCCTCAGGCAGGCCTAGTCCCCGTGGGAGATTCAGGTCATGCTTCATTGTCATGGATGCTGGCTCACACAAGCATTCAGGGACCAGATTAAAAATGACTGAGCGATTTCTGATTCTCGGTTGAACGCACAGACACAATGCGTTTCCATTTGTCTTCAAAAGTGAAGTGTGAGTGCAGTATAATCCTTACGAAGCATATTTCATTGTCTCATATACGTTATGAATTACACGGATGCAAACGATCTAGTACCACAATAAACTTTCATACATACATCGTTTCACGTTATTTATCTATCCACAATCTGATGACTGATGTGAAAGTATGCAGATTGGCATTAGAATGAAAATTGGCCTGCATGAGTACAGTTAGTCGGAAACATTGAATGAAATCCCTCCGGAAAATTGATGCAAAGTAAGTCGAAATAATTGAAAAAAAGAAAATTTTCCACAAAAAGTAAAAGACTATTGAGGAAACTATTAAGTTCACAGCGTATCTCGTAATCGCCCTCCATGTTTGCAAGTAGCAAAACGGATAAATTTTCCACACCGATTATGCATTTTTTCGGCTTGGTTAGTTTGTGGAACAAAGCCCTGTGCAATCGAAACCCCAATTATTTATCATCCTCTGTAAGGGAATTGAACAAACTTTGCAACCTGTAATGAGACCACAGCTGAGAGTTCTACTGGAAGCTGACCAACCGGTTACACATCTACAGAAAACATGACATCAACAATTGAGATCAATTATTACAAAGTACGAAAAACAAAAGAGTCGAAACCCCGGGGCCACTGCAGCAAGATCAAAATAATTAGCATGTCGCGAGCTCCAACACTCCGCAATCGTTGACGCGAAACAAAAACAGACACATTGGGTTGGTTAATCCCAGTGAACAAACGTGCACAGATCAATAGGAATTATTCAAATTTACAACAACAATATTAATCAACTCCAGGCCAACAGAACTGATAGAGCCAGTAATGTTTAGGCTCACAAAAGCAATCGCAGTGTTACTTTGGCGGGGATCTTAAGAAATTCGACCTTGCTACATATATTTGTACTCCGGTGGATAGTTTATCAAAATTTATGTCGCGAGTTATATTTTATTGGTGCAATCAATTGTTCAACTCCCGTATGATTACCTATGATCCGGAATTCATAAAGAATTTTGAACCTCATGTGTTATTGTGCAGGAGTGGTACTCGTTATCCGTTCAGTCGCCCATTATACATAGATACGAAAATGCAGACCGTGAAGGTTAAGTCTCGTCGAAAAGCATCTAGCAGGTTGGCAAGAGACTTTGCGCAATATAAAACACCAGAAAATGTCTATACTCGTCATTTTTTCGTGCAACGGTGGTGGTGGCACGCATACAGAAGGCACGATTATCATTTGCTGAAAGAAAACTCTGTGGCGCCGTAGCGACACGCGGCTGTTTGTGAAGGGTCGAGTGTATGCTGTGGCGGTTCCGTCAGTGCTACCTTATGATGCAGAGACTTGGCCATTACGGCAGCGAGATGAAAATAGATTGTCGGTGTTCGAATACCAATATCCACGTCGCATTGCACGAGTGTGGTGGGGAAACCCGACAATCAACACTGAGGTTAGGTAATCGCGGTCGGCCAAGTGGTCGACCTCCATAGATTACGCTGGTTGGGACATGTGTTACGCATGTCACCTGATAGGTTGCCACGGTGAGCAATGTTTGCCGATGCAAGTAGCGGATGGTAAAATGTCAAGGGTGGTCAAACTAAGACATGGTATGAGGGTATGAAAACCATAACCAGGAAACTGGGTCACATGGCTGCCGTCCGTCTTCCTGGATGGTAAACCCGAGATTACGGTAACCGGCGGTTAGAGATGCTGAGTGATATGGCTAAGTGTCGCTCGTGCATCTACTGAATATTCGTGCAACTCCAGTCTATATGAATTTCGTACCTTCCCCTTGAATTTGCCCTCAACGTTCCAATCTTCATTCTACTTTTTTATCCAAATGGGCGGCCAAAAATCAACAACCAAAACCGGCGCACGCAAGTGCATGGTTGGGTGATTGCACAAACTGAAACTGAACTACACTGCACTCTCACTTCTTTTAGTGAATGATGAATTTATTCATGCGGATGTTCATTTCTTGGCATGACTCTCACCGAACAACCTCGAAAACCTCTTCTTTTCCAAATGATCCCGACCCATGTGCTCTCTGGAAAGAAGCCTCTTTGACAAAATCCGATTATCGTATCATAGATATTTTGCCAAAAATCTACTCCTATAAACATGGCACACTGGTACAAACATCCAACAGGAAGGTAGTTCATAAGCTGTACCACCCTGCGCAATTGCCATCATTGAGAGAAACGGTCTCTCATATAAATTTTTATCAGTTGTATGACCCAAGAATTTTGGTCGAGTGTGAACACCTCACTGGCTATTTTAATTTCTGCTTTTATCTCTGCTGCTTCATGGTCACCTAGTACGTCAGCTCCACCAAATTTCCTTTTGTCGCTTTGAAGTCCCTCAGAAAAATTGCCTAGGGGGTACACAAAAATCGAGACCAAGTTCTAGCCAAACGAACATCAGTGCTGATCGAAACTAAGGTCAAAAACCGTGACAGGCTCCACAGTGAAACCCTGCTAGATGATCGAAACTGTAAGAAAATACGAAGTGCAATCAAAATGTTTTTTGAACAAGTTAGGCGAGACTTAACCCCTCGAGATGGAACTCAATAGCATGCTTTGAACGTCAAATTCAACGGAAATATCGGAATCAAATTTCCCATCAATTGGCCGCCATGGAATTTTTCATGTCAAATCTAATCAGGTGCAGGCGTAGCTGACGCGTCCCAAAATATCAAAAGCTTCCGGTACCGACGGACTATGTTCCATCGTAATCAGGGGACGTGTGCAGTATCTGACTAAGCCACTGGTCGATGTTTTCAACCGTTGCTTCGAGGAAAAAATGCCGATTGTTGGAGACCTGTGCGTATTATACCAGTCCCCCCAAAGGAAACTGAGATATTTCGACCAATCACCCGAATTTACGTTTTTACTGAGGATTTTTGAAAGGTATAAACATAATAACATTCTTAACACTGAGCAATAAGATAACAGACAGTTCGCCTATCGTAAGCAACGTGCGACTCTAGACCTTGATAAATTTAGTTTTGCAATCCCTCGATAGAAGTAGGACAAGGACTCCCGAGTGTACAGTTGACTAGAAGAACAGCGGAAGAAAGATTGAGTTTAAACTGGTATTCAAATTGAGACCACAAAATGCCAGATTCCAGTGGCGAATTCGAACAAATTTTAAGCACAGGATGAATGAAATCTACAATTTCACACCAGTAAAAAATAACTTCATCTGAGAAGAAATCTAAAATTATAACAATTTTTCG